TAGAGGAGTATTCAAGCATTTGAAAGCAGCAAACCTTCACGATGGGGGTTGGTGAGTGTCCCTCAACACCAACCACCACTGGTCTCCTTGAGGCTGACTTGTTGATAATATTCCTCCTACACTGGCTCCTCAAATGTCCGTGCTTTCCACAGTTCCAACAACCTTTCTGGATATCAGCCTTTCCTGCTGTGGCATCTCCCCTGTGTTGAATTTTCCAACATTGAGCTCTCTTGTGCCCAGGTTTGTTACAGTGCCAGCAAAGTCTCTCATCAAATTGTTCAAGTCCAACCAAATCTCAGTGATATCCATAATATCAAAATACTCAGTTTTCACAACTGCTTTGAACTCATCAGTTTTATTTCTAATATTTCTAGCATTACAACAGTAACAATTAATTATAGATTTTAAAATACATTCATGTTTTATGCCTGTTGTACACGACTTCCTGTCACTTTTTATTAATATAATAGTCCTCGCCTCTGTCTATCACTAGTTTAAATCAGCCAATTACAGCTGAATTAATAACATGCTGGCCCCTGCCTTGTTTAAATGTAAGCCATCCATTCCAAAAAGACACAAATTACAGGTAAAAAGAAACAATAGTAAACTACTATTACTTTTATTATTATTAATAATATACAATACAGGCAACAAACGCCTTCAACTATGACACATAAAACATGACAATCCCATTAAACTACATTAAATATACAATACAAAAAAATGTAGACTCACTAACAATATACATACAATATCATTTAAAACATAATACACAAAATGAGTCTTTTAAATACAATAGGAAATTGTAAAATGTAAGCTTGTTTAACTATGGATAAAAAGTACATATACAAAAATTTATCATTATTTAAAAAATGAGATATAATAATAATAATACATATAAAAGTAGGAAAAATCATTGTCTGCTCACAATGTAGTTACAAAAAACTGTATTAAGGCCGATCACTGAACAAACGCTACACCAAACTTCAAACTATATAATATTAATAAAAGGCAAACACAAAAACCAAAATTCCAAACACTATTTGATGTTAATATTGTTAACCCCATAATTATTAATTTAATATAATTCCCTAATTAATTCATGTGCTCACAAGTAGGTTTGAGTTTGTACTTATAGTGGAATACACAAATTTCTCAACTCAAATATTTTATTGTGTGATTGTGACATTTATTTGGATCAAACACAAAAATCACATAATTGGCGACGAGGATTCATTATCAGAACATGGATTAGGACTATTTGTGGATGGATATATGTATGCATATTTATTATAATTAAAACACAAAAAATTGTGGATGGGTCTGTTGTATATCTCTACTCTTTGTTGTGTTAGGAACTTTTGCTGTGAATTCCTGGAAAAGTGATATCACTGCTGAACTGTTCAATTTCTTAGGGAACATCCTTTCTGCACATCAGAAGGAAACTATCATAAATTATCATGGCACTTCAAAGCTAAGTATATAATAATAAAAGGCAATCAAATATAAAATGAAAATAAACACAAAATTCCAATCACCAAAATCACTCAAGAAAATGAAAGAATGTACAAAAAAAGAACTTTCAACAACAATTATACTTTCTGATTAATCAATATATAAGCACATGTAGAGATTTTGAGTTTATATATAAAAACGCTCATTCAGAAAATAAGCAACACTACCAAAACCAACAGAATTCTTTTAATTACTTCTTAAGGATGGAGCAGGGTAATTAATGGTATTTGTTAACTGGTGGCCACATTAATCAATCAGTAAAGTGTTTATCAATCCACGGTATGTACGAGCACAACAACAAAGTTGTTGGGTGTGGGTGTTGCCAGTCACTTGCCTTCCTTGTAGTCAAGCAGGTTAAAAAAAAAGTTGGCAGTGGGTGCTGCCAGCATGTTGCCTTCCCTCTACCCAACAGTTTAAAAGTTATGATTTTTTTCTATACTGAACATATATTTCCAATAGGTATTACCTTCTCTCACATAAACAGCTATTCTTGTTCAGTGCTGCCCTATACGTGCATATAAATGTTTTCTCATGCCACAAGCCTTGAGCTCCCATGTACCTTATGATTAAATAGTTCAACTGTTCCTTGTATGTAAACCATCATGCGACAACCCTCCACCAATAGGAGTGCACACACTCTCCTGACACGTGAGTCCCTCTATTCACTTCTACAGAACTATCACTTCAAGTTTTGGCAGAAAATGGAAGCACCAGTTTTCAGTGGGGAGGTGGTGTGAAAAGTTTGTCAGAAAATAGAAGCACCAGGTTTCAGTGGGGAAGTAGTTTGAAAAGTTTGGCAGAAAATGGAAGCACCAGTTTTCAGTGGGGAGGTAGTGTGAGAAGTTTGGCAGAAAATGGAAGCACCGGTTTTCAGTGGGGAGGTAGTGTGAAAAGAGGTAAGTACCTATCGGAAATATGTTTTCAGTATAGGAAAAGTATTGCTTCCAATACGGTACATTACCTCCGCTCACATAAAAAGCTCAATTCCCATATTGAATAAGTGGAGGGACCGGTGTGAGGGGGAAAAAAAAAGAAGCATTCCTTGAAAGCATCCAAAGAACACCCTACAAGAGGAAATCCTCGCATTAGAGGATTATATGTGGGAGACCACACCACTTCTGTACCAGGTATATTCTTTGCTCAGTGTGGAAAGAAGTGTCGCAGACATGGGCAGAAAATGGGAGGAGCACATCCAAACAGGAGAGAACAGTAGTTGGATAGGGGTCAGAACCACATAATATCTCAATCCAATAGAGTACAGTAATGTGGGTGAGAGTAAAAAGGATGTGCCCCTAGGGGGTAGAGTGGCTAGGGTGTAACAGACTGTACATGACCAGTCAACTGCATTCAAAACCCAGCTGCCATGAAATGACATCCACGTGGGGGTAGATGAGTATTATACTGTCTTCACTTCAAGGTCAGCAGACCAGAGGGAAATCTTGGACTCACCAATTTGTGAAAGAGACACATCATAGCAATGTGATAAATTGTTTGATCTGGGAATCTGACATCAAGTCAATCGGCATAATAAAGATGCATCTCTAATGTAAACTATCTCACTCAAAACCAATCTGACCAGAACCATCCCAGTGCAATAACATCCTAGGAATATGAAAAACATCAAGGTATAGCGTAAGAGTAAAAACTGTATTAATCTGCAGGCTCCACCACCGTGACCCACAACATGGGTGACGTGGACAAGAGTACAATTGAGTGAGGAAATCTATAATACATGTGTGAGGACTTATGTTGATTGGTTCAGCTCTGAATCCAAAACCCAGGTGCTGATAACTGACATCCATGTGGAGGTAGAATAAGGGATCCCAATTGAAGGGGTGAACTGTAATTTTGATGGCTCACTCCAAAGCTACCACATCCCCTCAGATAGGCCAGTACAGAGATGGAGTGTCAGATTGGAGGACATTTACATCAGCAGAACACCACCATCCTACTCTCAACTGAATGGTTTCATTATTGTTTGTATCGTATATCACTATTACATTCAGGAAG